ACTATTTTCTTTCTCTCTCTACTTTGATACATCCCATTCTCTTCCCCCTTTCTCTGAAAAAATGTTCAATCTCAAATTCCTCTCACCCACACTATTTTCTTTTCATTACGATCAATTCTTGCACCGAATATTTGAATTGCGATTTCTCTGTCATCAATTCTCGCCACGGGTTTCGTTCACATATGCCCGACGCATTCGAGAGCTTGTCTAGCCCTTGCCTTCCTGAAAAATCGTGATTTCCCTTTTGCAGGGTTTATAGCAATGGTTGCGGCAATTGGGACAATTATGGTGGATTTGGTAGCTATGAGTTATTTTAGGAGATCAAGAAAGGAGATTTCTATGTTAAGGTCTCTAAAAGCAAATCAAATCCCTAACCAAATCACTAAAAGGTTATGAAAATAAGAAGACGCGTGTTGTATCTTCAAACGTTGCTACGGCGGATTCGCCGGAAATTAGGGTTTGTTCTTGAACAAAGACGACGGAGTTTGGGGCTGAGCAACTTATTTTCTGTTAATATATTTTAATGTATTTTCATGTATTTCATTGTATTCATTGTCTTTTTTTTCATTGTAATTCAATGTATCTTGTTGTATTCCATGTATTTCATTGTATTCACTATCTTTTTTTCATTGTATTTCAATGAATCCCGATGTATTCTATGTATTTCATTGTATTCACTGTCTCGCTATATGCCATGAATGTATTCATATATATTTTTTTAATTAATATAATTTATGTATTCAGGTGTATTATATAATATTGCTATGTTTTGGGGGGTATTTTTCAGTTGAAAATCTTTTTTATAACTGAAAATACAAAATTTGTATGTTATAATTGAGTTTGTTGAGTTATATTAGGAGTCTGTTATGTTAATTGATTCACTTTTTATTTTAAAAACAGTGTAATCCCCTATTTCACGCCATGAATACAGTCAAATACAATAAGAATACAATAATTTGTCCAGCTGTAATCCCATGTTTCACTCCATGAATATAGTCGAATACACTCGAATACAACAACTGATTAGCTGGACTTCCCTGATTCACGCCTATTTTTGCTACTGTATTCATGAATACAATAGCTTAAATACATCAAATACATCTTATAACCACAGAAAAGGTGTCTATAATCCGTAATATAGCAAATGGTATCTATAGATGGCTAATTACTACTAAAAGATAGTGCTTTATGAAAATTTCTCAATAAAATACTACAATAATAAAGATGTCATCCTTCAAGGCTCTTCCTCCAACGTCCTTTAAAAAATCAAATGTTAAATTTGAAAAAAATGTTTATCGCAACTTATTTAGTATATACCAAACACATGTTTTATATTATACACATGTATATTTCAATGTCAGTCTAATGAACCAAACATCTATTACTAAAAATATATTCACTATATAATTTTGTTACTATTTGATCCTCGTATTATAATTCCGTCATTATAATCTCGCGGTAACTCAAGGGTGTAAGCAGAAACTTTTATAAGCGGTGTTGAAATTTATAGAAGAACGGGAATAAATAACTTTAGTTATCAAATTTTTAAACAAAAAATAACCTTAGCCCATTAGTTTTGTCGATTCTTAAATTAGAAAAGGTCCCGAGTTCAATTCTACTTAATCACAAATTTTAACTACAAATCATCTCTCAAATATATGCAAAAAATACATATATTTATCCTAATTATCTATTTCCTCACAGTATTAATATATGTATTTAATAAAAATTTCCGACCAAACGGTATCGCGTGACACCGCTAAACAATGCGTCCGATCCGCCCTGGAATAACTTTTCTCAGGCCAAATAACACCTAAAAGATTTGTCAACTTTCTCAACTTTATATTTATTGCTTTCACTTCATAAGAAAGAAACGTTCGAGTAGCAATTAATAAGAGGTGGCTAGTTTATATGCAGAAGCAAGAAGGTACAGTTCCTCATAAAAGTAATGCATCACCATCACATTATATTCTTGCTTCAATAAGTTAAACTGATCTATCATCTTTAGTGGGTCGATCGAACATAAAAGAAAATCAACCACTTGAATGGTATAAGGGCAAAGTCTTTAGTTATTAATCATAGTTATATATGCTATAATGGTGACTATTATCTGGTTAGGTTAGGTGTGAAATAAGGATTGAAAGAACGTTTAACCTATTTGCTGTGAAAGACATTAATTCTGATAAAAAAAGAAAGACACACATTAATAATGTTTCCTTTTACAGCTCATTTGCCTTCAAAATCAATTCATACAAATGGAACATATATCATCGTGCTAGACAAGACAATGAGACATCATCCTCTAGAGGAATGTTTTATTCCTTATTCGTGAAATATATTTTCTGCGATTTCCAACTTCTTTTATAACATGTACAATTGGTGACTATATGTTTGCCACATGTCAATATATCGTGATGACATAATATGGAATCTATCTTTTTTAAAAATAATAATGTCGGGATCAGTTTATGCACACCTAAATTAATCCATCGAATATGTACAACAGGCTTGGATAATTTTGTCCATCAAAGTTTTGGTAAAATTTAAATGAGAATATGCACCTATTGTGGTCTTTGTTGTCATTCAAACAATTTTGTTTTGCACTTCCCTTTACTTTAAAAAGGCATGTTGATATTCGACATTTGATATAGTCAAAACATCTAGTTTCAAACCGGAATCAGATTTGTTTTTTTATTAGTTTTACATGTTAATTAAAACCTATACAAAAGTACTATTACTAGTAAAAAATACTCATAGTAAAAAGACCGAATTGTCTTATTTCACAAAAGAAATAACGACACAAAAATGGAAATATAAAATATTAATTTCAACAAATTTAAATAACTTACAAGATTTTCCTATTAGTAAGCTAGAGATTTTCGCGGGAGATTCATATTTATTTATGTTGTTGTTATTATTATATTATTATTGTTGTTGTTATTGTTAAAAAAGTCTTTCATATATGCAAACCATATTTTAGTATCCGCGTGAGTTAGATAGATGTGTTATGGTGGATCATAAAACAATTACGTAATTTCTATGTTGCGTTTGGTGGCTTGGGGTACACCCGTGGCCTAAATATTTAAAAGCAAATTCTATAATTAGAGATTAATATATGTTCATTTGCTTACAAAAGGGTCATATTTTTCTATGTCGTGTAGTTGTCCCTAAGACTACAATGATTGGGGAATAAATATAAAAGAAATCTCAAGTCAATTCATAAGTTTTTGAATTAGATTATGATTAGATATGAAACAGACTTGGTCATTTTTGTATTAGTAATAAGAACAATACAATATATTAGTAATAAAAGGAAGTAGTGGCCCTCGACTTAGCTTTAATTTAAATGAGCTTTTAATTTGAAATTATTGGTACGCAGGTTCAAATCAAATCAAATGTCTTTCAAGGTAATAGTAACGATTTTGGCGCCTTTCAACTTTCAATTAGACCACTTATCTAAACTTTTTCCCTTGCTTTTTGCTAGTTCTATGTGAAAAGCCCCTGCAGCTACAATTATTGTCAAACCAGAACATTTTACTCCGTCTTTTTAAGAAAAGAAACATTTTAATATGTACTCATTATTAAAAAAATGCCCTTTTATTATTTCAATGTCATATTTAATTTATTGTTATTTTACTTTTTATCCATATAAATTAAGTTTCCTTTAAAAATGCATCGTTACCGGCTTACCGCATTGGCTAATGAGGAAGTCGTAATGTGCATTTTAAGTTTAATATTAAGTATGCATTGTTATGTGCTCTCAGGAGAATAATCCAATAGTTAAGAGATTACAATTTCAATTCTGCAAACGGAGTTATCTAGTTAAACCCCTCCCACTACTCTCTTCTTAACTTAGTTGTATCAAATTAATAGCCTATTTGGCCAAGTTTCCTTTTTGGGCCAAAAATACTTTTTCCTCAAAGTTAGAGCCCGTTTGGACATATACTTTTTTTGCTTTTTTCCAAAAAAAAAATAAAAAATTAAAACAATGTTTGGTTATCCATATCTTACCAATTTCACTTGAAAATACTTTTTCAATTGAAAATGCATTTTTACTAGTTTTTAATTTTATAAATTTATCCTATACTTTTAAAATTTATAAAATGACCCCATTAATTATTAACCTACAACTACTCACGTGTTTCCCCTCGACTATCAGATGAAGCTACTGCAGCGGATAATGAAAACCTTTTCTTGTGATGACTACCATATTGCTAAACAATAGCATGTTTGATTGTTTATTTCAAGTAGTATAATTAAATTGGGACGGTTTTGATATTTTTTACAAGTTATGGGGTATAAATCATATTTCCTGGTTTTGCAAAAAAAAGACATTCAAATATGTTGCAAAAATTATAACCAAATACAACTTCATCTTCAATTCAAATTTTAGTGAAATTCCAAATTTGAAAATTTATTTTGGAATTCATGGCCAAACGCCTACTTAATATGTTTGGCCAAACTTTTAGAAGAAAAAAATATTTTTGAGTAAAAGCAGAAGAAATTTTTGAGATTCAGAAAAAAATAGCTTCTTTCCAAATGCACTTTTAAAAGAAAAAACACTTAAAAATATTTTTTAAAAGCTTGATCAAATAATAATTGTTGTTTAAAAGTGCATTTTCAAATTAATTAGTCGAACACAAATTGCTTCTTACTAAAAATATATTTTTAAAAGGCATTTTTGAAAAAAATACTTTTCAAATAAGTTAATTTTAGAAGTTTGACCAAACATGATATAATTTTTTTGGTTAAGTTCTACTCATATTGGGAGAAAAAGACCCCCCAAAAAAGGGCAATCTGTAATTACAGAAACTTAAGAGAACAAACGGCAATTCAAATTATAGGACCGTTAATCGTACACAATATATTAATGAAACAGAGATTATAATAAGTAGTTAAGCAAAATATACGCCGGTGAAAAGGGTATTTCAGTCTTTTCATAAATACAAAAATTAAAGCTCAAGAAAGAAACATTGTTCATGACCCACCACCACAAACTCCATCACCCGACCCCCACCCCCTCACACACACTCCCCATGACTCCCACGACCTTTTGAACTCCTCCATTTTCAATACACTTGAAACCACAGCTCAATTTCATCAGCATTAAGAATAACAAGTAGAAGAAGAAGAAAGAGAAGGTGAATTCTGGAAGTTTCTGGAAAGGTAATGCGAAAATGGCTACGGCTTACAGAAACGGCACAGTTCCTAAAGGAGCTTTAAAGGTAGATAGGCCTCTTTCTATGAATTCAACTTCCAAATCTTCTTCTTTCAAATCCAAAAACTCCGGTCCTGCTCCGGCATCCGGTATCCGCCGTAAAAGCACTGGCTCCGTTGCTAACTCTGCTGCTTCCACTAAGGATGCTACCTCCGGTGAGTCAACTCCAAATTCGTCCTCATTTCCTTTATAACTTCACTTAATTTCCTACAACGGTATAATTTTGATCTATTTTCAAATGTTTTTGCTGATAATGTAAGAAAACTAAGCGCTTGATTTAATGAGTTCTCATTTCTTAAGGAATTTACTTAATTCTCGAGAAAATTGCTACAAATACGTCCTCATTTCCTTAATAACTTTACTTAATTTCCTTTTTTTTTTATTTTTAAATTTAATGTAAGAGAACTAAGCGGTTGATTTGTAAGTTGTAGTAGTTGAAAGAGCTCTCATTTTCTCAAGGAATTTAATTAGTTGCCTAAAAAATGATCGCTTTACTTTTTTTTTCTGGCGGATAATGTGAGAAAAATGATCATGTGATTGTGTTGTGATGGTTCTTATTTAAGTTAATTAGACACAGCTGTTTGATTAGTCAGCCTTTGTGATGAGTATATGCAATGGAAACATTTAGTCTTTGAGGAATTAAACTAATTTGGAAAACTAAGTGCTTGATTTGTTAGGTGTGATAGTTATTTTAGTTAGGTAGACGAAGCTGTTATATTTATGATGAGTCTAAGCTATGGAAACATGTGAATGCAAAGGTAAAGTAGTACATTAATTTCCTTAAGGGTTTTAGTTAATTTTGAAAAGAAAAATTGCTCTTGTGTCATTGTTCTTTTGTTGTTGTAATAGTAATGAATTTTTTCTCCACATAGTAGTTATGATTTAAGTTACTTAAAATAAGCAGTCTGATTTAATTCTAGCACTTATGATGAGGTCTAAGCAATCACAACATGTGATCCCAAAGCTAAAGTAGGTTTAATAGAGTTGGTAACTGGACTAGTTGTTGGAAACTGAATTTTTTGTTTGAAGAACTTGGAATCTTGGTAATAGATATTGGTTATATTCTGCATTGGCCAATTACCTGTTCAGGATTGTAATGCATAGAAAGGACACCAATAGTGTAGCTAATGAACAAATGAAGTGTTCTTGTTAATTTATAATTTTCTGCACTAAAGCTTTTTAAGATTGAGTTTTCTTATAGCATCGAAGTGTCAGTTCTCATTCACACGTGAATCCTACTTCTTGTAAAATGTAAATCAATCAACTACACTTCAATCCCAAATAAATTAGGGTATGAATCCTCCATATCCCAATTTAATTCAAGTAATATTTAGAGGATGTATCATTGTAAAACTATTTCTAATTCTGCTGGCAACCTAGTGGAACCTTCCTCGTTTATATTACAAAACTCGCCGGGGTTAATAATACTTTTGGAATAATGCGTTCAAATTCTTTTCTTGGGTGCTTTTGTTGAATTGAAGTTGAAAGAAGAAATCTGTAGTGCATTATATGTTTCCAAAAGTCCTATGAATATTTGATTAATCATGCAAGGGCTCATTTTTCTGCTTTGTAACAGTTTCAGGACGTGTTAGAGTTGCAGTAAGACTGCGGCCTCGAAATGCGGAGGAGATGGTGGCTGATGCTGATTTTGCTGATTGTGTGGAATTGCAGCCTGAGGTATTCCAAGTACATCTCTACCTTTCTTGTCAAGGCAATATGAATACTGTTGGTTTTAAATCATTTCTTTTGTCGTTTCCAGCTTAAAAGGCTTAAACTTCGAAGGAACAACTGGGATTCAGACACCTATGAATTCGACGAAGTGCTTACGGAATTTTCTTCACAAAAGCGTGTATATGAAGTAGTGGCCAAGCCTGTCGTTGAGGTCGCCTGCCAAAACCTAGCAATTCTGCTTTTTAATACATGAATTATGAATGAAATGTTCATCTTCTGCACATGCTTTTATCTAACACATTTAAAGAAAGAGGAAATTTGCTATTGACTAGGAAGCGTCTGACTAATATACCGGGAAAGTTTACTTCAGAGCCATAAATATAGTTTCACTTCGATGCAGATTACAAGAGTTTCAAATGTTCTTTTTGAATTACCTAAATTAGCAACGAATTACCTAATTTCGGCACTTTTCAATTTTCCCAAGTGTCTTGCTTAGTGGCACCTTTGCTAAACATTCCTGAAAATACGCCATACATTTAAAATACTTAAGTTCAAAGCACCTATATGCCAAATACGGTAAACACTCTCTCTCTGAGTAGCTTTCTTCTAGAATTTGTAAGATATTTTTATCTGGCCAATAACGAAGGTCATCTCAGTACAGATATTTTAATTAATAGCTTCTTTTCTTCTTGAAAAGCAAGCATAAGATCCACAGTAGTGAAACCAGGACTTTTACTAAGGGGATTTAAAATATACAGAAAAAAATACATGCAGAAGCCAATAGGATTCGACAGCTCCTATATATACATAAATAATAATTTTGACCTTGTGTATACCGTGTAATTTTTCAGCAAAGGGGATTCGGATGAACTGCCTTCCGCTCTCATAGCTCCATCTCTGAATATCCATAACCACTTTGTAACTTTTAAAGTGTCTATTGGATTCAATAATATTAGTTTTGTAAGTTGTAATCAATTCCTTGCTCCTTAATATTGTAATTTGGATTCAGAAGTATCAAAATGTACATGGTTGAGATTACTAGCTTGTGATATCTCTTGTTTAAACTTCTTTTGTCCCTTGTATTCTCATACTTAAGATGTTTCTACGAACAATAAATAAGTTCCTTAGATTGAAATCCGCTGCCTGCAACCTAAAGTTTAGTTGATTTGCCTTATGCCACTATTGCATGCCTAGAGTCGGTTAATTTTGTAATTTTACATGGTTATCTAATTGCTTCTGTGTGTGTAATAAGGTGCCAATTTGTCTTACTCTTGTCTAGTTTCGTGCGGATGTATTCTTTCTTTATCTCTTTAAGCCCTGCAGAGTGTTCTGGATGGTTATAATGGAACAATCATGGCATACGGGCAGACGGGGACAGGAAAAACTTACACTCTTGGACGACTTGGAGAAGAGGACACTGCTGATCGAGGGATAATGGTTCGTGCAATGGAGGATATTCTTGCAGAAATAACCCCAGCAAATGATTCTGTTTCTGTCTCTTTTTTTCAGGTTGTTTTCTCCTTCTACGGAAATGAGAGTTCCTTTTGTTGAGAACTTTTTATTTACTTGTATTATCATACCTGATAATAGCTGTGTCAAGTTTCATTTGCATCTTTGGTTGTTTCATGCTTGTTTCTGACTTTAAGTTGTATAAGTGTGGTTGGTTACCTGTCAATGCAGCTTTATATGGAGAGTATTCAGGATCTCCTAGACCCAGTGAACGACAACATATCAATTGTTGAAGATCACAAAACTGGTGATGTTTCTGTACCTGGGGCTACTGCGGTGGATATCAGAGATCAGAAGAGTTTCCTTGAACTCCTTCGCCTGGGCGAAACTCATCGTTTTGCTGCTAACACTAAATTAAACACAGAGTCTTCAAGAAGCCATGCTATACTGATGGTTAGAAGATTCTATCTCTTGTGGGTTATGCAGTTTTTTTATTCTTTTTTATGTTGTGCACAGTGGCTTGACCATTGTTCTTGAGCCTTTTCCCAATATGCCAATGGACAGGGAGACATCAACAAAGTTCAATGTCACAGAAACTTTTGTTTTCTATCACAGGTACATGTCGAAAGGTCTGTCAAGGGAAGAGATTCTGCTATTTCATCTGAAAATGGGAGTACTTCTCACACAGCTAAAGCATTCAAGCCACCTGTTGTGAGGAAAAGCAAACTAGTTGTTGTGGATCTTGCTGGTTCTGAGCGCATAGACAAATCAGGTGTGCTATCAAAATTTCTGGGCAAATGTATCTTCTGTAACTTTTATTATGTATTCACAACTGGAGCATTTTATTTGTGCTTACAGAAAACTTTGGTTTTGTTCAAGGATTATGATAGCTAATAGTTTTACACAAATATTCATACTCATGTTTGAATGACAGTTAAAACAATTCTGTTACTTGAGGCAATGCTAAATATTACCTAGGAGTTAAGTGAGTGATTGCTTTGGAGAGACTTCAATATGTGTTTTCCTTCCCAATCCTTTTGCACTCTAGTCACTTAACTTGAATAGGCATATGAGTCTGTTCACCCTTTAACCCTCTTTTGCGGCGTTCGGTGGGTTTCAACTAGGAAGATTTTCTTTGTTTCTCTAAATAAAAGCCGAACTGATCTTTTGACATTTATGATGCAAGAATGTGGCTACACTTTGGAACTGATTACTGCAGGCAAAACTGTGACCTATTTTTTCGGTTTGCCAGGCTTGTCGGGGTGGGGTTATCTAAGACACCATGTAGAAGTTCCTAATGTTTCTTTGGAGCAATGAGTTGAGATCTAAAACAGGATAAAGCTAAGAAGCATTGGTTCTTTGTTTTGTTTTGCATTTGACAGGAAGTGAAGCACATACACTGGAGGAAGCTAAGTCCATTAATCTCTCCTTGAGTGCATTGGGAAAATGCATCAATGCGTTGGCAGAGAATAGCGCTCATGTTCCAGTTCGTGACTCAAAGCTCACAAGGTTGCTTCGAGATTCATTTGGAGGTAAGGTACTTAATAAATCGATTTTGAAGCTTATTCAGGAATAGCAAACACAACTTAACATGGTCCAAATTTTAACCTCTGCACTTGAAAGCCAGGGAAAACTTATAAAGCATATTCAGTTATGAGAGCCATGCACTTCTTTGATTGTAGTTCTTGGAGGCTCAATTCCTGTACCTCAAGGTCTCTAGTGAAATTAAGTTTACAATGATCTAAATCCCAAGTTATACTTGAGCTTATTTTAAGCACTTTTGATACTGATATTCTTGCATTTCATTAAACTATCTTTAGCTGCGTGTAGAATTTTTGGTGTAATTCCACAATACCTTATTTTAACGCAGTAACCAACAACCAAATGCACAAAGAAAGAAACAGACACAGAGAAATGTAGGGCTCACGTCCAGTGGCGAAGCCAGAAATTTCATTTAGGGTGTTCAAACTTGAAATAAGTAAAAAAATTCTAGATAAAGGGTGTTCAATATATGTTATATACCATTAAAATCTAATATTTTACCTATATATACAGTGTAATTTTTCGACGAAGGGTGACCACCCTTAGCTCTATGTACCTTCGCCACTACTCACGTCTTAGAATGGATTTGGGGGACAAATTCTAAGCTCTCCTAACTAGCTGAGTCTAAAAACTGGGACGAAGAATAATTCATGTCCCAGAAGAATAATACATTTTTCCTTAGCTTAACTAAGAGAACCTGTTACAAAGGCGACGGAACTTTCGATGCATTAGTTCTTAAAAAAAAAGAAAAAGAAAAATACTCACTATTTCAAGTCCAAGCTACATGGCTGCATCCTAAAATGCAGAGTCACTAAGATAATATGCATCATTTTTCAGAGGTATAGAAAAACACTTTGCAAAGTCCTTCAACAAGTTTTAGATTAAATTATTTAAAAGACCTCCTTATCCCAAATGCTGTCATATACAATATTAATTCATTCTTGGGTTACAAGAAGGCTCTCAATGTAAACTAAGACATTTGATTAGGGCATGACCACAAATTTAAGACTTATGCCGAGGATATCGTATTATAAATCTCCAACTGTTCCATATTGCGGACATTATGATTTCTTTTATGACTTGGTTAACTCAATTTAAGTTCATAGTGCAAAGAAAGTGCATTAATTACTGAAGGATTTCATATCCTTTTAGACCAGGAGGTTTTACATAGTTTCTGCCAGATACTACAATGTAGTGCTGGGTTGGCTTACATTTTGATCCAGTAAATCTTCTTGGGCCAAAAGATTGATATCCTACATAATTTGCTTTCATTTGGAGTGTAGTTCCTTCTCTGGAGCTAGACTGCTTAACCTTGCACTGTCCGTGAAACTTATGAAAGTAGTCTGCTGGGTGATGTCATCTGTTCAGTACTGTTTCACCTTTGATGCATAATCTCATTAGCCTTTCATTTTGTTTTGGTATCCTACTTAATCACTTTTTATAAATCATCACCATGAGATGATAATTACTTTAAAAAAAAGAACATTGTCATTGGACATTGAGAAAGGGCATCACATTGTTGAATACTCACAGGTACAGCAAGAACTTCATTGGTTATCACGATCGGTCCATCTCCACGGCATCGAGGAGAGACGGCAAGCACCATAATGTTTGGACAGAGGGTAATCCTAACCTCTATTTTGTTTTCCCATGGGAATGCTTGTTGTATGATATACAATTTTAGTCTTTTGAGATCCTTCCAGCAGTGTGGGTTGGCTTATGCTAACTCAGTTGTAATCTATTCTCTGGGTTTCTATTTGAGTTATCATGCGGTTGTAGAACTTGTATGCATGGGTGTAAGAGAATACTAGTAAACTTCTCTTCTTCCCTTTTTCTGCTTTTCACTAGCTAGGACTTGGAGTAAATTATTTGTACTTCTACAGGCAATGAAGGTGGAGAATATGTTGAAAATTAAGGAAGAGTTTGACTACAAAAGTTTGTCCAGAAGGCTTGAAATACAGCTAGACAAACAAATTGCAGAACATGAAAGGCAGCAGAAAGGATTTCAGGATGAGATTGAGAGGATTGCCCAAGAGGCTCAGATTCGAATCACTGAGGCTGAAAAAGGTTATGCAGAGGCATTGGAGGTACCACATGCTTCGTGAAATACGTGATAATATCTGAATCCTATATAACATGCCTTTTCATGTTTAGTTCATTTTCACTTATATTATGTTATGCATCATCTATTGTTTCACTCCCTAATTTTTCATGATCATCTTTCTGTTTGAATTATGTAGTTTTGCATCACCAGATTATGTGCCATGACCAGGATTTTCACTGTCATTGTCTTTCTCCTCTTTCTGTTCCCTTTTTTCCATCATCTGCAGAGGGAGAGGTTGCAGTACCAGAAAGATTATGTGGATGCAATAAGCAAGCTAGAGGAGCAATGGGCAGAAAATAAACAAAAGCATGAAAATGAAAAGGCCAAGGTGAGTTCAGAAGAATGCTAGTGCTATTAGGAGAAGAATGAAGTTGACGTCCACTTTCTATTCTGAAAGATTGGTACTATTGTTTTTCCGAGGGTCCCATTGAAATTGTCCTCAAGCATGGGTTGTTATAATTTGTGATCTCATAAGCCTCTTCCTTGCAGTTCATGTATGTAATAGACATGCTTGTCTTCTCTTTGAACTTTTACATATACCTAAGCAGCTGTCTGTGATTGTACATGCTCCTCCGAACCTTTGGAATAGTCCTGCAACTATGCTGAATATGTAACTGTGAAATAGCTTTCCTATCATATTTCAATTTCTGGTTCTACGATGAATGTAACTTTGCTTTTTGCTGTTTATCTCCCTCATTTGTCAGTCCTCAATGCTCTCTGCTTCTATGGAAGTTGTNAAGAAGAAATTGCAGTCCTACAAAGTCAGCTATTGCAATTAAGTTTTGAAGCTGATGAGGTAAAACAGTATCTATCTTTAAATTTGTTGAATTAGTATTCTTGGTGAAATCACTGGATTTATACACCCTTGCCATGTTTGACCACCAGGAAAAAAAAAGTTCAAAATAAGCAGCTTTTGTAGGACATGAATCTTTTTTCTTTTAAAGATTCATCATAACTAGATTATCATTACGCTGATCATCAATCTCTTTCTCACACCCCTGTATCTTTGGGTTTATGTGCACATTAACCTCACCTTGTAAACCAATAACATCCTTAAAGTTATGTGTTAAAGTGAAACCGGTAGTTTTTCCTTCCAAACTAGCGAGTTCAGCACACTTAAAACATGAGTGTGGATCTAGTTCTGAGCCTTTTTGCCCCCAAAGTGCTGCACCCCAATATGACCTAGCGTATGATGTGTGCAGATTTCAAAACTTGCCATTAGTTGTGGGCATCATTTGACACTTGGTTGAAGAGAAATTACAAAATTGAAATAATTAACAGTTCCTGTATAATCTCTTTATAGATGTGGACTGTCGTGCCGTGTAAACCAATTCACATTATTGTGCCCTTGGTCTGTGAGAAGTGCTTGAGGGCTTTATACTTTTCTTTTTCCGGTTTGCCTCTTCTCCACTAATGTATTAAGAACTTTTAAACCTTTTTCTTTTTTTTTGGGTGTGTGTGGGGGTGGGGGGTGAACTGAGCAAATGGCCTGTCCCTGTGATCAGGGTGCTGTATACATCTTGCACGTGAGTTGTTTCTGTTGAAGATTAGAAACTGAAATTCATGTTGTAGCTTACAGAAGCATGCGTCTTTTGAAAAGCAAGCTTTTCAGGTACCTGTAAACCTGCAGATATTTGTTACATGTGTGGGTATATGCACTGCCGAAAATTTTCACGTCATATATAAACATGATTGCTGATTAAATGAGCATATTTGTCAGTTGAGATTAACTTACTCAAGTTAAAAACTATTTCTTTTAATTAGACAAGGAGAAATCTTGATAGAGGAGGGACTGTAAAGCTGCCAGGCACTCTAGATTCTCCAATTCCTCCATTTATGCATCAACACCTAGGAGATTCAGGAGATGGAGAGAAGGCCTCGATGGCAAAACTCTTTGAACAAGGTGGGAGATGGACTTTATCCTAGGAGTTGATTTCATTTTTAACTCTTCTACTCCCTAATACAGCTTTTTTTTTTTCTTTCACCAGTGGGTCTCTCAAAGATATTGTCATTGCTTGAATCAGAAGATGCTGATGTGCAGATTCATGCAGTAAAAGTTGTGGCAAACCTGGCAGCTGAAGGTATTGTTTTGCTATTTCCTTTTCAGTGTTATATCTTTAATTCCTGTCTCTTGCTGCTCGCAATCTGTAGTTTGTTGGGCGTTAGATGCTATCTGCTTGATTGAGATGTGTATACCGTATCAAATGTAGCTATACCTCATGATTGTAGGTGGGATTTGGCTACAAGTCTTATGAATGATAGCTTGTCAACTTTGTTACATGAATCTAGTAATAGATATGCAAGTATGTCATTTACCAGATAAACATTTGAAGCTGATTTGCATTATCTAAAATATAGTACTCCCTTTTTCCGAAACTCTATCTTATGTTTCTTAGCTTTCTCTAATTCTATATACCATACTGCTCAAACCCCAATTATTTATTTATTTAACACTTCACGGTTCATAGTGGAGGCATTAGTCCTTATTTCTTGCTGTAAAGCTCCTCCAAGCAAAAAGTTGAAGGACAAGGTGGAAGTCAGTCAATGCAATTCACTTAATTAAAAATATGTCAGATAATCCAATTCACTTAAAAATGTTGGTAAACCCAATCCATTAAGACCATCATAGACCTTATAAAGTGTAGAACACTACTACCAAAAACCTAATGGAGGAATACTAAAACAAAAACCAAAAAACAAGCAGAAATTATGTTAAATGAAACAGTTGAAAATTTGAGAAATGACAAAAAGGTAGTATCAAGTCCATAAATGGTGGTGACTTTTTCCTATTCGATCTATTTCAGAGGCAAACCAGGAGAAAATTGTAAAAGCTGGTGGTCTAAATTCTCTATTAACTCTTCTTAGAAGCTCCAATGATGAGACAATTCACAGAGTTGCCGCTGGCGCAATTGCAAATCTTGCTATGAACGGTAAGCTTTTCATCACTCACAGACTAGTGAATATTGTAAGTTCATTGCTTTTCTTTTCATACTGAAGTTACTCTCTACTAAGTGACATCATTTTTTCAAATGGTACAGAGACAAATCAGGAGCTTATCATGTCTCATGGAGGCATCAGTTTGTTGTCAGTCACAGCAGCCAAAGCCGAAGATCCTCAAACCCTTCGCATGGTTGCTGGGGCCATTGCTAATCTCTGTGGAAATGGTATTATTTGTTGCCTTAAGCTGAATATTTTAAGCTAAAATTTCTTTTTATTTCAAGCAATTGAGCAAGATGACATAAGATCAATGGATATGGTAATATTCTTCTTCCTGATATCAACATCAAACTGTTTCATTTGATGTGGAGCTGTAATAGTAAGAGCATTATGTTCTCCCTCATAGTGGTGAAATTTCACCATTTTAAATTTGTTTATATGATACCTAACAGAACTGTCCCTCTCTCTCCCTATCCCTTCCCCCTACCCCTTCCCCCTCAACCAAAAAGAAAAAAAAGAAAGAGCTTACCAGTAAAACAAGAAAAAAAGGATGAACCAATGAGAAAAAGGGAAACATATATTGTTCCATGAGAAATTCCTTACACGATATCCTTAATCAAGTAACCCTGCATTTGAACTTAGTCACGGTGATTGGATCCTGCTGTTGCTCACATCTAATGTATCTTTTAACCTTTCACAGAAAAGTTACAAGCAAAGCTACGAGGTGAAGGTGGAGTTAAGGCGTTACTAGGAATGGTCAGATGCCGGCATCCTGATGTTCTGGCTCAAGTTGCTCGTGGAATTGCTAATTTTGCAAAATGTGAATCAAGAGCATACACTCAAGGTTAGTGGTATACTAGCTTGCAGCTTGCGTTTTCTCTGCTCGTCTGCCTCTCCTCCCTCGCTTCCTGCACCCCCGGCCAAACTCGGAATATATGTCACTGTACTGTTAGCAATATTATAATCAGTATCATAGTTTTGCACTAGTCTCCACTTATACCCTGTTGGGTGGTGTATTGCATGTTCTGGTGAAAAGAGAAGTCTCACTACTATAGTTTCGCGGTATTGCCAATGATCTTACCATGACAGGAAGCAAGACTGGGAAGTCTCTCCTTATTGAAGACGGAACCCTTCCATGGATTGTACAGAACGCTAATAATGAGGCCTCACCAATAAGGCGTCATATTGAGCTGGCACTCTGCCATTTGGCTCAACATGGTAAATAGCAGTTCTGATTTGACTTTTTCCATTTTGCTTGAAACTGTGGATAGTCATGAATGCTTAAACTGTTAATTACAGAAGTAAATGCAAAGGATATGATCAAGGCTGGTGCCTTGTGGGAACTCGTTCGTATATCCAGAGATTGTTCACGAGATGATATAAGGACTCTTGCATATCGCACGCTAACTTCCAGCCCAAGTTTCCAGGCGGAACTCAAACGACAGAGGATAGATTATGGTTGAACATTTCACGTGTTATCAAGACAAGATGGTTTCGAATATGGAGATAGTTATTAACATAGGTAGCTGATTCTTTTCACAGAAACGACTGTTTTATCTTCAAGAGGTGACATTTGTTTTCAATCCTATTAAACTCTCGTTGAGATTCAGGGAGGGTTACAAGTTTGCAACTAACAGAAACTAGTTATCTTGTAAATTTACGTGAATTAGTAGGTAGGTCTCACTGGAGTAAGACCGCTATAAATGTAAAGCTTTGATTTGTTTATTCATATATCAAATGAAGCGTGTAAGATGTCATTTGACGTTGCATTCTGGAAAATAAGGTACGTTATTGGTTTTAGATACGAATTCTCTGACAGTATGTGCCACATGTTCTATGAGTCCTGGAATATTTTATGTTCCGAGGCCTTAAAACCTCCCTTTTGTCTCACCTCGATTTGCGTGCGCAGTCCGGGCGTGTATCCGGAAAGCCATTGTGTGAAAATCTGTGAAAAATGATGAATTTTGCTTTTAAAATGAATTTAGGTTGACTTCGGTCAACATTTTGGTTAAACGGATCCGGACCCGTGATTTGACGGTCCCAGAGGATCCGTAGGAAAATATGGGACTTGGGCGTATGCACGGAATCGAATTCCGAGGTCCTAAGCCCAAGAAATGAATTTTTAAAGAAAATTGTTTTCTGGAATATATATGAGTTTTTTGAAATTTGAATATTTTTGAAATTGATAGTATCGAACCTGTATCTTGGTTCCGGAGCCCGGCACAAGTCTTATATAGTGCTTAGATTGAGCCGGTAAAATTTGGTAAGAAACGGACTTGAAATGACGTGAATCAGACTCCCGGTTGTGAAATTTGAAACATAAGTGTTCTTGAAAATTTTCTTTGATTTTGATGCTAAATTCGTTGTTAAAGGTGTTAATTTGGCGATTTGATCGCACGAATAAGTTCATATGATGTTTTTGGGTTAGTATGCATGTTTGGTTTGGAGCCTCGAGGGCTCGGGTGAGTTTCGGATGGGTTTCGGGATGTTTTTAAACTTAGAAAAGTTGCAGGTTTTGCTGTCTCAGGTGCACAGAGGTTTTGTTCTTCGCGTTCGCGTGGTTCCACTCACGAACGCGTAAGGCAACTTCCTCAGGTGCCAGTTTGTTCTTCGCGAACACGGAGCTTAGGACGCGAACGCGAAGCTGTGGGGAAAAGGGGGTACCCTTCGCGAACGCGTTCAGGCACTCGCGAACGCGTAAGGTTAATGACCTGGGGGGGAGGGATTTCACATTTGTTCTACGCGAACACGGTCATCTGACCGCGAACACGAAGGCTATAGGAGTTGAAGCTCCGCGAATGCGAGCCGTCAAACGCGAATGCGATGGTCAGCTAGGCCTGACCCATCGCGAACGCGATGAAAGCCTGCCCAGTCATTTTTAAAACAAAAGCAAAAACGGGCAGAACCCATTTACTTCATATTTTTAAAATTTGGGAGCATTGAGGCGATTTTCAAAGAACAAGTTCTTCCCCAAAGCATTGGTATATGATTCTAAACCTTTTTCTTTCGATTTCCCATTGCATTTCATCAATTTTCATCCTAAAATCTAGGGGTTTTATGGTAGAAATTAGGAATTTGGGTAGAGTTAAGGCTTTTTGATTAATTGGGATTTAGAGCTCATTTTGGGGTCGGATTTCGAAACTAATTGTATATTTGGGCTCGTGGTGAATGGGCGATCGGGTTTTGGTCCGAACCTCGAGTTTCGACCAAGCGGACACGGGGTCGATTTTTGGCTTTTTGGGGAAAATGATAGAAAACCTATAATTAAGCATTGAGTATGAATTCTTTAGCATTTATTGATGTTGTTAAATTAATTTGGACTAGATACAAGTAATTTGGAGGCGAATTCTAAAGGAAAAGGGGTGTTTGAGGCTTGAGTTGGCCGTGGAAGTTTGAGGTAAGTGTTTGGTCTAACCTTAGCTTGAGGGATTAGGAGTTGTGTCTTATTTGCTATGTGTTAATTGTGGAGTACGACGTATATGCAGGGTGACGAGTATCTATACGTCGTTGTCAAGCATGCCCGAGAGTCTTGTATTGTAATTGTTGTGACACCGTTGTGGTATTTCGTGCTTCATATGAGGGTTATCATTATTGTTCCCTTGCTGAGATGTTGTTGTTATATTATTTTTCCCTTGCCGGGATATTGTTGTTATATTATTGTTTCCTTGCCGTAATTCTTTTATAATTGGTGTTGATAAATGAAATGGGAGCGAGTTGCACGCCTGCAACGGTATTATATGAAATGGGAGCGGGTTGCACGCTTGCAACGATACTATATGAAATGGGAGTGGGTTGCACGCCTGCAACGGTACTATATGAAATGAGAGCGGGTTGCACACCTGCAACGGTATTACATGTGTACTTGTTTCTTATTTCCTTATCTTTTGCGGGTAATTGATTTATGATGTTCCTTGCATTTCTCTATTGATATTCTGTTGTTATCTGTTATTCCCCACAGCATGTTTCCCCCGCCCAACTTTAGCTGTAATTATCTGCCTTTATTTTTCGCTGTATATGATTTAACTGCATAGGTTTATTTGGTAGTCTGGTCCTAACCTCGTCACCACTTCGCCGAGGTTAGGCTAGGCACTTACCAACACATGGGGTTGGTTGTGCTGATACTACACTCCGCACTGTGTGCAGATACTGATACCGGAGCGTTTGGACCGCAGTGAGAGGGCTGTCTTCAGTCCACTCAGGCGACCCGAGGTAGTCCTGCAGACGTCCGCAGGCCTTGGTGTCTCCTCCTATCACTTCTCTTTCTATTTTTACTTATTCAGAGGTAGATTTGTGTATTTCCATTCAGACCTTATTTTTAGTATTCTTAGATAGTCCGTGACTTGTGACACCAAATTCTGGGTAGTATTGTACTTCAGATTATGTAGAAATGTTTGGTTGAACTACTAAGTTTTCGTTTCCGCGTTTCTGGTTATTTAATTTATTCCGCTATTTAATCACTTAATACTTTGAATTGCTGAACATGCTTAATAAAAAAGGTAATGAATTGATAATACTCGGCTTGCTTAGCCTTTACGAGTAGGCGCCATCACGATTCCCGAGGGTGGAAAATTCGGATCGTGACATAAAAAGAACATGGTATTGAAGTGGTAATAGTTAACTTGTGGTAATGATGCATTGTATTGTGTACCAAATTTTACCAATATAAGCACATCTCAGATAGAGATCACTTGCAAGGATTCAATATGAGAATAATATCTCGTTGTTGTATTGGTCAAGATCTGACCATCACGACCGAGCTGACCAACGTCCCGCCTAAGTGATCGGGTAGCGAAAGATAGTATAACCCGCTCCATACCCCTTTCCCGACATCCGACGAGTCGGAAAGAGCGGCGCCTAAAAGCACGACTAAGACACATTGCAGGCAAGAGGACGTCGGGCCAAGCAAAGGGCAAGGGTGTCACGACTATATATAGCAGGGGAAAGCTTTCAATGAAGGGAGGGGGTCCTCCTATCTCTCTCTAAAGCTAAAAAACTCTCTCCTAATATTCTGAATAGAGAGAAATTAATCTCTAGAAAAATATGTAAAGCTGTCTCCTCATCGATTAATGGGAGACGCAATATTGAATCTCAATAAGATTATTTACATTTTCTTCACTTACATATGATCCATATTGCTAGCTCTTTGATCTGGAATTTATTATGTGTGACTAAGATTTACCCCTTCATTTTTGATTGATTTGTTCAAAAAGGTTTCAATATCTTTTGAGTCAAACAATTTGGCGCCGTCTGTGGGGATTTCTTAGTGAAATTTCCTAGTCTCTCCCAGATCAAAAACAAGAAATACGATCGCTTACCAAAAGAAGCGCGAAGGAAAAATCCAACCCACGCGAGACAAAGGAGCAGTGCAGTAGGGGGAGGAGAGCCAAACAAAATTATCAAGCTTAGAAACCTTCGCCCCATCAACCATCGATACGCCAAACAAGGCGAATGACGTTACTAATTAGTTCTCCCTCATCGGACTACCAGACGGGGGCAAGGAAAGTTTCATTCTAACTTGCCTCCTAATCTCTGCTCAAGTAGGAATACAATGGCCGTGCAGGCGAACGAATAAAGAAACACCTCAATCAAAGGACGAAAAACTACTGCAAAACAACTGTGATACTGCCCGCCGGTGATACCTCCAAGCCGGAAGACAAGAGCCAGACAAGGAAACTACAATTTGCGCGCAGAGCGAACTTAAGCGAAACCGCAACGTTTCGCATTCTCCGATGTTGTACCCTCCGTTGCAAGCAATGCCAAACGGACTGGGACTCTCCCAGAAAATATCTGGCTCTCCAAAAACTGGGAATGATGACGAGTTACTATTTTGATAAGTTCGAAATAACACCCTTTAAGGCCAAAGGCCTTCGCCAAAAAGAGAAGAATTCGACCTCGATCGAACGACAACGGGTTACTATTTCGACAAGTTCGAAATAATACCCTTTAACGCCAAGGGCCTTCGCCAAAAAGAGAAGAGTTCGACCTCGATCGAACGACACCGGGTTACTATTTCGACAAGTTCGAAATAATACCCTTTAACGCCAAGGGCCTTCGCCAAAAAGAGAAGAGTTCGACCTCGATCGAACGATGATGGGTTACTATTTCGATAAGTTCGAAACAACACCCTCTAAGGCCAAGGGCCTTCGCCAAAAAAAAAAAAAGTTCGACCTCGATCGAACGACAAGGGGTTACTATCTCGATAAGTTCAAAATAACATCCTTAAAGGCCAAGCGCCTTCGCCAAAAAGAGAAAAGTTCGACCTCGATCAAACGATGATGAGTTACTATTTCGACAAGTTCGAAATAATACCCTTTAAGGCCAAGGGCTTTCGCCAAAAAGAGAAGAGTTCGACCTCGATCAAACGACCATGGGTTACTATTTCGACAAATTTGAAATAACACCCTTTAACGCCAAGGTCCTTTGCCAAAAAGAGAAGAGTTCGACCTCGATCGAACGACGATGGGTTACTATTTCGACAAGTTCGAAATAACACCCTTTAAGGCCAAGGGCCTTTGCCAAAAAGAGAAGAGTTCGACCTCGATCGAACGACAACGGGTTACTCCTTCGCCAAAAAGAGAAGAGTTCGACCTTGATTGAACGACGACGGGTTACTATTTTGACAAGTTCGAAATAACACCCTTTAAGGCCAAGGGCCTTCGCCAAAAAGAGAAGTGTTCGACCTCGATCGAACGATGAAGGGTTACTATTTTGATAAGTGCGAAATAACACCCTTTAAGGCCAAGGGCCTTGACCAAAAAGAGAAGAGT